CAGTCATTTCTTATGTTCTTCTTGTAATTTTTTTTCTATAAATTTTTTTAATCCCAACATCATTAATTACTTTTAAGGGTATGGTCGCTATTTCAAAACTTAAGATTTAAGACTTAGCTCTTAGTTTTTTATTTTCATCACACAAAATAATATGCCTTATCAGTGATTGTAAATAATCGCGTGATATAGAAGCATCTGCTCCAACCAAAAAAAAAAATTTCACATCATAAACTTAATAGGGTTCGTATTCATATACAACCGATTACATTTAAAGATTTTTTTTTTTTTTTTTTTTTGGGTCAGATCGCGAATGCATTTGGGCCTCATGCTGATTGACAATATTACACTTAACAGGCCGAGGAGAGGATCCTGGCCCATGTCCAGCTGCAGGCCCAAATGTAAAACGGTAAAAGCGTTATTTGGCTCCAAATTTTTTCGTGTTTTTCATTAGAAACGTTTTACCTTTATATAATCCGAACTTTTCGGTTTCATCATCGCTTCGTCATACCAGTTGTTTTTCCAGTTCTTCTTTTTGTTCTCTCTCTCTCTCTTTCTCTCTCTCCTCTTCCACTTGCCTTCTCTAAAGCTTTCCCTCCAGAGAATCTAAGCTGGTCTAGATTGTGTTCTGGCTGGACCGGTCCAATCCCGGTCGAGTTCTTCGTAGATCAACCACTCGCAGTCACAGTCATGAATCCTGAATAGTAAGCCTCCGATCTCTTTTCCCTTTCCCCTTTGTTGCCCATAACTTTTGCCCCTCTTTGCATCTGAACCATAAATAAATAAATTCAAAAATTAAAGTGGGTATTTTTCCTGCTGTTTTCCTTTGGATTCTCCTAAAGCTTTTTTTTTTTTTTTTTTTTTGGTCCTTACAACAATTATTCTTTAGATCCGTGATGATTTAGGGCTAAATTGTACCGGGTGTGTGGTCAATTTGTGTTTCCTTTTAAAAAAAAATTATCAATTTTGTCGAAATTCTGTTTGTTGACATAAGAAACTGAAGAAATTGAAACCCAATAAGATAGATTTCCAGTTACTTTCAGTTCCTGTGCCTTATACTTTAATTGTGATCACTGAAACCGACAGCAGCGTAATTCATTTATTTTGATATCATAAATTTTAGCTTGGATCGTGTTCTTGAGGTTAATGGGTCAACTAAACTTTGGTTTGAGATCTTGATGTTCAGTTAGTTCTTGGGCTTAGTCAATGCAATTTGCTAAATGTAATGTAATTTTTGGCTCAACCAAATAACTTAAGTTTTAGTTTGCTACTAAACCTGTTGAATTCAGATTTAAAGTATTGCAAATGAATGATTATGTTCAAATGTTCTCTTCTGCAGTGATTACTTGTTTAAACTTTTACTGATTGGAGACTCTGGGGTCGGCAAATCATGTCTTCTTCTGAGGTTTGCTGTAAGTTGTTGATGCTTTGATCACTTAGTCCTTTATTCGTATATGGAAATTGTAGTGCGTGTTAAAGTTTGTATTGGATTTTTTTGTCCGATTCATTGTGTCCATTACTTGCCTCTCCCATTATAGTTAACTGATTAGTCTTTTCTGTTCTGATAATTCCTTACTGTGCTCATGCGATTGTTTCTTGCCGAAAGGGAAATACAATGTTTTGCTTTATACTAAAGTTAGATATTTGGGGAATCTAGCAGTTATTTTGCTCTTCGATGTTTATGTGTAATTCAAAAATGGGAAATTCATTGATGTAAATGATAAGAAAGGCTTCAAGGAACCAAGTGAAAATAAACAGAAGTTTTTAGAAGAGAAACTTGTAATTTCTATCCTTTAAAAATGCTGATTCCTTATCTAAAAAATTAAAAAAAATCGAGTATTGATTTACTTCAAATCGACGAATGCAATTAAATAACATATGCATGATTCGTTTTTGTTGTGTAATACCTATTATCTGATGTTTCATCTTAGGCAGGTGTTTATGTTGTCTCCCATGGAAATATTATTTATATTGATTACTCGTACAATTCCTCAGGGCTGACTATTTTATCTCTGTATGATACAGGATGATTCATATCTGGACAGCTATATTAGCACAATCGGAGTTGATTTTGTAAGCTCTATTTTCTGGGTCAAAGTGGTGTTATAGAAAGTATGACTCCTAATTACTTTTCTTGTTCTTTATCTGTAGAAAATTCGCACAGTCGAGCAGGATGGGAAGACCATTAAACTTCAAATTGTGAGCCTCTCTCTCTCTCTCTCAAACATGGTAGTGCGTGGGCATTAAAGCCATTCAGTAGTTGAGGAATACCTATTGCTTACGTATCTGAACTGTTGATGCCAAAGTGTTGTTGGTTCATTTTTTCTTTTCCCTTTTTCTTTCTTCACGTGCTTATTTTGCAACTGTCTGATGTAACACATTCAACTACTTTAGTAGAAGTTCTTATTTCGTGAGGTTTTTTGCGGCGTGTTTGCATTTGGTTGGTTGACCTCGGTTATGAAGAAAGCCGTACTGTGTCAATGGAACACGTAGGGTCTCATCATTAGGCTTAAATTTAGTTCTAGTACATGTTCACAATATTCTTGTAGCACATATGAAATGTTATTTAGTCAATGAGCTATAAAGACTTACCTGTCATATTTTCCTTTTTCCTTTTTCCTCCTGGAAATGTAGTGGGACACTGCTGGACAAGAACGTTTTAGGACAATTACTAGTAGCTACTACCGTGGTGCACATGGAATTATAGTAAGTTTTTACTTTTTGTTTCATTATTGTGGTCATAGTTTTTCCTTGAAGTCTTGTAATGTGGATTCTATTTATTAATGTTGGTGCATGTGGCAGATAGTTTATGATGTGACAGACCAAGAGAGCTTTAACAATGTTAAGCAGTGGTTAAATGAAATTGATCGTTATGCTAGTGAGAATGTAAACAAGCTTCTTGTTGGCAACAAGGCTGACCTCACTGCTAACAAAGTTGTGTCTTATGAAACAGCTAAGGTGAAAAAAACCTTCCCTTAGTTCCTGCTACCATATTTTTTGTCTGTTGAAGTATTCAATATTTAGATAATGACTCTTCCCTATCGTCATTGGTTTGTTAAAAGGCGTTTGCGGATGAGATTGGGATCCCTTTCATGGAGACTAGTGCAAAAAATGCTACTAATGTGGAGCAAGCTTTCATGGCAATGGCTGCTGAAATCAAGAATAGGTACTTTTGTATATGTTGTGTGTTTTCTTTACCCTAGTAATGTAATAAGAGAAAAGGTTGAATGAGGGACAGGATTCTTTTGAAAAATAGTCATGCTTAGGTTTGCTGCATCTTTGTGTTGAAGTAAATTCTGATACTATTCTTCTAAAAAAAGAAAGGGTGCATTTTTGTTCTAAAGCTCTCCAGCTTTGCAAGTTTATAATTTGGCCTCTTCAGTAGTTCACTCATTTCTTTCATGACCCAATGCAGGATGGCAAGTCAACCAATGAACAATGCAAGGCCACCGACAGTGCAGATCCGAGGACAACCTGTCAACCAGAAATCTGGCTGCTGCTCCTCTTAGTCGATTCTATTGCTCGTCTTCTGTGGCATGAGTGCATGCACGTAGGAGAAGGCTTCACTTCATTCTTGTCTAAGCTGTAGGGGACCATTCGTGCCTTGTGAAACCATATATAATGACTTTGCTCGTCAGTACGTTTTATAAAGTGACAAACAAAACAAATTCCATTCTTTTTAGTCTTTTAACTGGTATGTACAAATGATGTCCGCTACTCAGCTACATTTTTTATTTCTCTGTTTTCTTCTGTTTAAAGTGACTTGCTAAATTGTTTCATGTGGATGCTTAAAGGAAATTTGTACGTTTCAAATGTTATTATATGGTAAGTGGCCAATTTGTTATAGAATCCTGAAATAGTCGACTGCCTGCAGATGCTATTTGTCCTCAATGTCTCTACAGCGAACCAAATTAGCTCTTTAATCTTGCGTTGGGATTAAATTAGGGAGTTTCACTAAAACACCCAAAATGGGGGTTGAAATTATAAAAAAACCCAAGCACTATTTAAACATATAAACACACCCAAAACCCATCATTACACACACTTAAAACTCATTTATAAACACACCCAAAAAGTTGACTTTGGGGTTGATTTTGGGTGTGTTTCTATGTTTAAATAGTGCTTGGGTTTTTTTATAAATACATGTCTAGGATTGGGTTTATTTATAAATTTGTAATTAAATTACTGGATCGGAGCATAGACCAGTCCATAAGACAATTTTGTCCCCTCTATCTATTTCATAAGCTGGCTCTTTCTTTCAAATTATCAATTTATCATAAATAACGAACTTTTAATTTAGTGGTGTTTCTCGGTTCAAATTTGAATTGACACACCATAATTTGGTAAAGCTACTATTCCATCGAGTTAACCTTGGTAGAATGAAACTCCATTCCCCTTTTGAACACACCAAAAAAGAAAACCTTGGTAGAAAGCGCTTTCGTAAATGTAAGTTAAAGAAGGAAAAGTGGAGGAAAAAAAAAGTCGAGAAGTTGGAAAGGAAAAAAAAGTTGAATTGTATAGCATTGTCCCAAACATTATACAGAACAATTC